TTAGAGAGGGTTGTGAAGCACTGTGAAGCGGTATATAAGTCTAAGTGCTATTGCTATTGCTGTTTTGTGAAAAAACTTGCAGGAAATGTTTCAAACAGCTGGATAGAAAACAGGAGCATCCCCTAGGGAGTCAAAATAGGCACACCTGTACAAAAGGGACAGAGCTTCAGTTGTGCTGCCATGTCTACCACCTTGCAAAACCTACTCCTCCGACACCTCCTGCCCGCAGACATCCCTGAGAAATGACAACCTTTTCTACTGTTTTGAGACAAAAACAAAATTTGAGTGCAATTACCCAACAAGAAAATCCCTACCAAGACATGAAAATCCATCTTGTCACAATGTTCCTGCCCAGCAAGCAGGGTGGCTGTCTTGTGGGCAAGTCGATCTCCATTTTCATCCAGGTGGGCTCGTGGGATATATCGTCGTTCATCAATGGTGAGGTTGTAATCCAATGCTGAAATGAAGGAAGATTGAGGCTAAATAATTTATTCCCCAGTGTGGAATAAAATGTAAAACCAACTTGTTCAAATCTCATATTAATAAAGGAGAACATTTGTAGTTCAGAGTTGAAATGAGGGGTCCTTGGTGCTCTCTGAGCTTGCTTGTTTTCTAGCAGATGTTTCATGACCTGACTAGGTAACATCATCAGTGAAAACTTAATTGACTCCTTCTGCAGCCCCATTCCTCTACTGTTAAATGTGCTTCCCCAAAACTGCCACAACTGTCTTATAAATTTACTTCTTAAATAGGAAACTTAATTTTATAAATAAGCAAGTGATGATTAAATGGCAGTGATGGGAAGAAGCTAAGAGGGGCTTCCTTGTAATCACTGGATTCTGGAGACAATTTCAGGCTTTTCTCCCCTTAAATGCTTCTCCCTGCATTGCAGAGTTTCATCTCCCTGTTCCCTGCTCTGAGCATCTGGGACAGGATTGTGTCCTGAATAAAAGCCCCTTCCCTGAGGGAGCAATACGGCCACCCAATGGGGAGAACCACCCTCAGGGGAGGGCAGCCCCTGCCACTTACCTACATGAGCTGTCTGAAAATGAGCTGAGAGAAAAACGGCAGTCAGGCAAACAAAGGTTGACAGACAAGTGGCCTCTTTTCCATTCCGAACACAGTCCTTGGTGAAGATGTTGATTTTGGAAGGCTCAAACTGGAGGGTGGCATTGATTTGGACCACACTGCGGGACCTTATAGGGAAGAAGCAAGAGGCTTTAAATGACAAGAAGGCATTTTATTAATCTTTTGGGACATTTACCACTGGCATATCCATTTAGTTTAATTAGTGGAAATGCCAGCTTCCTATGTGGAATGGAATTGGCCCAATAAAACAAAATTTGGTTGCTTGTAAAAGATTGAATTATTTTAAAGAAGTTGTCAAACAAGGTGGAAAAATTTACATTTGGAGTTTAATATGGATATTGACTTGAAAAAACTTAAAGTTGAAACTTTGTCAGTGAACAGATTACTTTTAATTTACCTTTAAGTTAAACCCAATTTAATAAATAGATCTGATTAAACCTCATACTGTAGGTCGACCTTTACATCTGACCAATACATAATATATATTATTATTAATAATAATACCTCCAAATCATGACATTGGCTTTATTCTTATTCTTTGCCTCTGCAGTTTGAATATAAAGTGATTATGGAATTATAGAAATTAATTATTATTGTTTTTAAATATATGAACCCAGACAACACACTGTTTACTAAGCACTAAAGACTGTTATTGTAAAAAAAATCAATAAAATATATTTTTTAAAAAATAAAACATCAGTGCTTGGGCTCATACTCCCTAGGCTCCTAATAATGGACACCTACTAACTTGGGGTATTGGTAAGGTTCTGCTCCCTTCCTCCTTTCCCGCCAACTTCACTCTGAACGAAAGATATCTCAACCAGTCTTAAATTTGATATGACCAACCATAATAGGACAGCACTTCCACGGGAGCCCACAGCAAGATCCACCAGCTTGTCTTCATTCATATCCAGGCTTCCATGGATGCTGCTCCCAAAATACATAAAGCCAGGAGAAAGATCAGCAGCTGCAATTCTCTGGAAGACCAAGGAAAAAAATTAGTTTTCTTTAAACATAACTGTGCAAAAGCAATTATATATTTTAACAAGCAAGTGTACTCAAATTACATCTCTGTGTTTACATGTGTACAAGGCCCACTGCTTGACTTCAGTTCCCAGAGTCCCTAGACGAGTGAGAGAAGATTGTCCTTGAAAAACTAGTTGGGTGGGGCCATGACAAAAAGCAAGTTTGCATCAATTTAAGTTACTCTCCCTGTGTTTAACAATTCTTTCTTCTGTTACATTCCACAGTTCTAATCTGGTAAATTATAATGGGGTGGAACCAGTGGTGGGATTCAAGTCCAAAAGCCAATGTAGGCCCCAACCATCACCCCTTCTCTGTCTTTTCTTATAGCCTAAAGAGAATCTGTACCTGCTTATATCTCCGGATCAGATTTTCCCGATACCCATGGAAGATGTACAGAGCTCCCTGATGCTCATCCTCCAGAGGTGCTCCCACAACTACATCGCTGTAGGAATCCTGGTTCAAGTCAGCTACAGTGGCAATGCAGGACCCGAACCTGGAATTCTGATAGCCAGGCAAGTCCTTCAAGGCTCCATTGGGAACAAACTGGTTCTTCAAGAAGAGAAAAGATGAAAAAGCACATTTGTGTATCAGCACGGAATGAACCATGAATATAATGTCAGAAAAATTGTTGCTCCTCAAAAAAGAGATGGAGAAAAGTAGTCCTTGGCTTACAACAGTTACAGTAGTTTAGTGACTGTTCAAAGTTACAACGTCACTGAAAAATGTGACTTATGACCGTTTTTCACAGTTACAACCTTTGCAGCATCCCAATGATCATTTGATCAAAATTCAGACGCTTGGCAACTGGTTCATATTTATGACGATTGCAGCATCCTGAGATCACAGGATCCCCTTTTGCGACCTTCTGACAAGCAAAGTCAATGGGGAAGCCAGATTCACTTAACAACCGAGCTATTAACTTATCAGCTGCAGTGATTCACTTAACAACCAAGGTGAGAAAGGTCTAAATTTCTAAAATGAGGCAAAACACACTCAACAATTGTCTCACTTAACAACAGAAATGTGGGGCTCAGTTGTCGTTGTAGGGTCGAGGACTACCTGTAACACACTTCTTGCTAGGTGTCTTGTTCTTCCTTATATCTGTGTTCATTGCTCTAAATATTTTCCCCCAATTCTTCTTTATCAATCTCAATGCCTTCAGAAAGGTAGAACTCAGAATCCCATATTTTGGTCGAATATTCTAATCACCAGAAACTAACTGCTTCTACTTGGTCAATAGTATGATCAGCTGTCATGTGACAAAGGTAGCAAATGTAAAAGGGCTTTTCCTGTCCTGAGGAAAATGCTCATTTGTGGACACAAGGCCAAGAATTACCTCTTTTAAGCTGTAGATGTAGACCTTTCCCCTCTCTCGCCCTTCACTGAAATACATGGGAGCCCCGACCAACAGAATGTCTGTGATTCCGTTCCCATCAACATCTATTGAACTGATTTCACTTCCAAAGTAGGCACCGATCTGAAAAGGATACAAAAAATACACACAGAATGAAGACTACAGAGCTGTGTGTTTCTGTATTTTTATATGCTTCCGAGAAATTAATGGCATCCGTAATGATACTACTGGAATGAGAGGCATTTCTCAGAGGAAACCATCCATCATCTCCTTGTCTAGACATTGCTTCTGGAACAGACTTCAGAGAGAGAGAGAAAACAACACTTTGATCCTGGGCGATTAAGGATCGTATTAACTGCTATTCTCAGTTGCTTTCTGTTGATTGATTCTCTTACTGAAAGTCCACGGCAAAAAACGATTAACATAGTTTGAAAGAATTCTAGCCTATTTACATCGAGTAAATAGTATCCTGTGGATTCTTGATGAATGCCAAGATTTGCATTCTTTTATAGACAGAAATGCTTCTGTATAATAGGCGATTCAGCATTGCTTATTCATTCCATTTGGCCACTTCAGTCATTCTTGAAGTACAAAAATGCAAAATCAACTTCTTAAAGGAAACAGTTCTTATAATTTATAACCTGTCTAGGCATTTCTTCAGGAAATTATATCAGACCCAGAGACAAATGGCTTTTAAAGGATAAAGTGAAAAACTGAAGGGTGGATCCTGAATCCTGAGTGGTGTTTTATTTTGGAATTGCTGTGGGGAGAACACCAACATAAAGACAATAATTTTACTGTTATTATTATATGGTTATTGTTATCAATTAAGCAAACCAAGCATGTGCTTAGGAGGCCCAGGGTAGGGGGCAACACAGAGATTTTTTTCCTCTAGCTATAGGTAATCCTCGACTTACAACAGTTCATTTAGTCACAGGTGGTAAAATGGGGCAAAGTTCACTTAAAAAAGATTTCGCTTAGCAACATAAATTCTTGTGGTCATAAGTCGAGGACTACCTGTATTATGCCCTTAACTCTTTAACTGCCACACTCTTTAATCTGATAAATTGTTCTTATCTGCTACTTTCAACTTTAATCTGTATTGGAGTAAAGAAACCATTTTCTTTGATAGAGTGAATGACTAAAGTTTAAACGCTTGGCTTGAAGCTTTCATCAGATATCATATTTATTCCTCCTTATGGCATGAGAGTTTTGCTTCGGTCAAAGGACGCCACTGCTGGGCTCTGCTTAGGCATCAGTTGGCTTTAATCCAGCCTTGTGCCACTAGCTTCCTCTTTGCCAGCCACACAAGTTCCTAAAGTAATGCCCAGAAATATATCCTTTACCTGCTCTCCGGTCAGTGACTGGTGGATGGTGAGGCTTCGATTTGTGTGCATTGTGAAAACAATCACTTTTCCAGTATGGTTGAATCGAGGGGCTCCTGCTACATAAATCCTGCTGAGTCTGGTGGACACCACCGAGGTGACGGTGTAGCCTACAGCACACACACACACAAGAGATCATGCGGAGGAAATCCCTTACAGTGACATATTTCTAAGGCCAGAACTGATCATCATCACTGTCATAATCACATTTGGAGTCCTTTTCTACAATATTGTACAGTCCTTCTTACTTTCTGCCAACCTGCAAAACAGTTTCAATCCAGGATGGCCTTAGTTTAGAGTTGTTTTATTGGGGCTTGATTTTTTACCCCCTGCCCTGTGAATATGCTGCTATCATACGTTTAGAGACTTGTGGAAGTTTACACTTAAAACAAATAATTATCAAAAATACGATTACCAACAAAATGGTATGCAATGACTTCATTAATAATGCAAATGTAACTTCTCTGCCTCCTTCTTCATCCCAATGATCCCTCTAGGCCTTTTTGACCATCCATGTAACCATCTTCCTAAAAGTTGGAAGCAAGGTGCCATCTGGATCTCCAGAGGGAAATTATTCCAGATGGTTGGCACCACAACTGAAAAATGGGAGTGGGGTGTGTGGGGGGTGTTGGCTCTTTTGCGACTATCATGGGGGAGGCAACCCCAGCATTCCTAGCCTAGCAGAATGGGAAGAAGCACTTTATAGCTGACCTGCAGGTACCTGGGCACCAAGATGGTCTGGCTATTTACGCTAAAAGCAGCCCCTTGAGATGCATTCAGAAGTCTGATGACTGATGCACAGCCTGCAGCACCATTGCTGTACATATCTACAGTGGCTCTCAGTTGCGAACTGCAACTTCTGGGTAATCTTCAAAGCCGGCCACAGAGAGAGAGCAGTCATTGCAGCCATCTATGCAAGAGGAACAAGGGTCTTGTCACTTTTGCCAGGGCCCGCTTCTCTAGGGGCACTGGCCCAAGTTAAGGAAAAATCCTCCTGGCCACAGTCGCCCTGCAGCCCATCTAGCTATAGCCGTGACTCCAGGCTGACCCCCAGCTCAGAGAGCTGGTCCTTCAAGGAGACCCCTGCCCCATCTAAAGTTCCTCCCAGTGGAGCTGGAGTTCCAGGAAGCTTCTGGACCAACAACTCCTCTGTTTTCATGCCATTCAGCTTGCTGACTTTTTCAATAATATTTTAAATAAATACAATATGAAGTATCATTTAATTGTTTGGGGGGGGCTGTTATAATTTGGGAACTGAATGCAGAAAGGTGGAATATAAATTCCAGTATTCCATGTCTGAACTGCATCTTTGGTTAAGCTTTACTAGTGCTGATCCAGAAGCTTGCATAATCTACATGAGACACTGGTGGCATTCCAGACATTGTTCTTACCAAGATAGGCCCCATGATTTTTCAGTTCATCTGGAAACTCTTGAAGGTAGGATTCTCGGTGAGGAACAACTTTGCCACTGCTGGTCTCCTTGAGGACGGCACCATTCCAGTCATAGGCCCCCACGGCTCCAAGCAGAATCCCATCCTATTCATGGAATTTAAAAAAGCTGAGGGGTAATGACAGTAGCAGGTCGAAGGTGTGGCACTTCTGGATGTAACTCTGCCAGTGTTCCAGATTGTTGGCCACCCAGCTGCTTAATTTGATCAAATAAAGTGCTACTTGATCAAGAAGTCTCCGCTTGGGTTATCTGATTAGATTGATATGATATCTCAAGTTCACGTAAGAAACTGGGACCTTACATCACAATATAATTACATCAGCGTAAGACTTAACTTTGCATTCACACAACTTGCTAAGGTTGATTAATTTCAATTTATCTGATGTAGATTACCCTGTTGTACAAACCCAGAATTGTTTTTAGGTATATCTCTATTAAATGAGTGGTTTAATATCCCACTCCCCCAGTTGCTAAGTGAATTATGTTATGCAAACACAGCCTTTGCCTTAGTTAAATTCATTTCATTTCTTCTATTTCTGCCAGTGGGACTGAAGGAGGCTTAGAACCACCAATATTACCACTAGATGCTCATGGTGTAAATGGAAGTGACAATTCCTCAACTTTAATAAAAAAAAAAAATTAATTAATCAAACAATTGCGTAAGGGCTGACCTTAAGTAGAATTTGAATGCTGTGCTAGGCTTTCTACCAGGAACAAATCTAGCCCAGAAGTGTTAAATAATGTTTTGCTCTTAATTATTGTCAACATATGTGCAAGAAATAAATGAACTACTTAGGTTTTGTTTTCCATGAGGAGCACAGTAAAAATATAGTTTAGATTTTCTGCCAATTTACTTGGAGGCTTTTTGAAAATTGCATTAAGAAGCAGCTGTCTGAAACCGCAGAACAGTTTAATTTTTGAACTTCCAGTTTATCATAAATAGAAGTTCAAGTATCTTCTACCTGATACAGGCTTTTGGTGGATCCATATATTACAAACCATTACATTTTAGGCTCATTTATATCTATTGCATGCCAAAGTCACATGAATCATAAGATAAAATGAAAAAAAAAGTCCATTATTCACTTACTTCCACAATATGGGATGAAAATCCAGTCTGGGACATTTCCAGGCCAAAGGATATTTCATTTTTGTTGGTGCCTACAACACAAAAAAGGAATATTTAAAAAACAGTGAAAGAAAGAAAAATATATTTACTACCTGCCATGACAAAATTTGATTCAAACATTACAAAGGCCAGTAGGAAGATTTGTGATTATGGGCCCAGAAAATAAAAGAGAAATTTATGTCCATCTGTTTAAAAGTCTAAAGCTGAATGTTGGAATCAATGTGCATATAAATTTCTCAGTTCAGGCTTAAAAATGCAGCATTGCTATGAAATTAGCTCTTCTGTGACCTCATCATTCATTCCAGTGATAAATTAATGTCCACAGCAGAAATGATGAGGAGGTAAACACAATACGAAACTTGACTGCAGATTGGAATTCATGGCAATTTTTGACTTAGCATCCACATTTAGAAATGAACCACAGATATCAGTATCTTACTTACGGTAGAAACCTGCTGTTTAAGGAATCTCCTAACCAGTGTTTCTCAACCTGGGTAGCTTTAAGATGTGTGGACTTCAATTCCTAGAATTCCCCAGCCAGCCATCTTAAAGCTGCCCAGGTTGAGAAACTCTGTCCTGATTATTTAGAACAGCGGCCCTCAGCTTTTGGGGCACCAGGGAGGTTTATCCACGGACCAGAGGGAGCGTGGTTTTGTGTGCTGCCTGCATCCTGGGGATGGGGCTTTGCTTGTTTGTGCGGCCCAGTTTGTGGCATGCTGCGAACCGGTGCCAGTCCACAGACTGGGGGTTGGGGACCCCTCATTTAGAGTTCTCTTGAGAGTGACTGTCATAATTAACTCTGCCACTCTAAGCACTGTCTTTCAAATGTGCTGAAATAGGGTTAAACTGTAACCGAAAAAATATTTTTGTGCTTTGCACATGATTAAGGTCTATTCGCCTGCTCAAAATTCAGGAAATTCAAAAAATACTGCTTAAATATAACTTTAGTTAGATAATCCCGGGGCCGAAGATTCTCCTTCTGACATCCATGAAAGTCACATCCGACTGATACCTGCAGGCCCTCATGTAGCCAGGAAACAGGAGTTAGGTTTTTCCTCTTTTTATCTCTCAGAAGCTGCTCACCTTCTAAGCTGAAAATCCTCTCTCCAAGAGCATCCACAATATCTTTAAGGGCAGCCTCATCACTGACATTAAAGAAATGTTTTTCGTCTGGGTCACTCGCTATATATTTGATTTCTTTCAAAAAGGTTGCAGGGTTGATCCCTCTTCTGTTGTAATAACCAAGGACCTGGAGTGGCAAGCAAAATACATCTCAGCCTTATTCCACAGAATTACACTCATGGTATAAGTATTTACAAGAGAGCCAGTTTGGTGTAGAGGTTAGGGTACTTGGCTAGAAACCAGGAAACTGGGAGGTTTAGTCTTGCCTTAGGCATAAAGCCGGCTATGTGACCTTGGGCCACTCACTCCCTCTCAACTGATGGCAAATTACTTTTGAAATCCTGCCAAGAAAACTGCTGGGACATGTCCAGACAGTCGCCAGAAGTTACCTCTGGCTCAAAGGCAAATAATAAAATAAAATTACAAGGTTAGTTTTCAAATACTCAGGTAGAGGAAAATTTCACCCTTTTCTTTAAAAAAAAAGGTTATTTTCTATAGTCCTTCATTTCAGTTTTCCCAGCTCTATTACATCCTTCTCAAATGTGATTGGAACTGTTGAATGTTCCAGACATAGTAACAGCATAACAGACTTGGAAAGCATCTTGGGGGTCTTCTAGTCCAACCCCTGCTCAAGCAGGAGACCCTATCATTCCAGACAAGTGGCTGTTCAACCTCTTCTTAAAATCCTCGAGTGATGGAGCACCCACAACTTCTGGAGGCAAACCATCCCACTGATTAATTGTTCTAACTGACAGGAAATTTATCCTTAATTTGGATAGATGGTTGGATTTCTGTTTGAAAAGCTTCCATCTGTTACTTCTTGTCCTGCCCTCAGGTGCTTTGGGGAACCGGTTGACACCCACTAAATATTGGAAGACTGCTATCATGTCACCCCTAGTCCTTCTCTTTGCTAGACCAGACATAACCAGTTCCTGCAACTGTTCTTCAGGTGTTTTAGCCTCCACCCTCCAATCATCTTTGTTGCTCTTTTCTGCACTCTTTCTAGGGTCTCAGCATTTTTTTTTATATCATGGTGACCAAAACTGGATGCAATATTCCAAGTGTGGTATTACCAGTGCAGATTAAAGCAATATTAACACTTCACATGATCTTGATTCAATCCCTAGATTCCTAGGACTGCACTGACTTTTTTGTCAACTCGTTTATACTTAAGTGGTTGTTTACTAGGACTTCAAGATCCCTCTCACAGTTACTGCTATACCTGTGCATTTGGTTTTTCTTGCCTAAGTGTAAATCCTTTCTAGGGGAAGTGAAATATTTTTTTTTGTGCTTCACATGGAATCTTCAGATTCTGCCTGACTTTTCTGCATACATATTCTCTCAATAAAAGTTCTTTTGATTAACCTCAATGGAGTCAAGAGTTTCCTGAGGGACCAGCTGGGGCAGGTTCTTACAATTGCCACCTTCACTTTGCTGTCCTTTATGGCCCTAAAATTTTCCTCTTGTCCTGCCCTCTGATGCTTTGGCTAAAATGGACCGGAACCTGATCCGCTTAAGTCATGCGGGTTATCCACCAAAAATGGCAATCTATTTTAAAATTGAAGCCTTCAATTTTTTCCTAGCATGTGAACTCTGAATTCACAGCCATTTCAGTACAATTCTGAAGATTCCAGGCAGAAAGTGTGCAGCACCCATAAATGACTTACTGCAACGGCGTATCTGGTGACATTGTCTTTCTCGCTGCCTTCAATTGCCTTCTCAAGATCTGGGCTGTCGTGAGACTCTCCATCAGTGATAACAATCATAACCTTCTTTGCACCCTTCCGCCCTCCTTTCTGAAATGCTTCTGAGCTGAAATTCAAGAAGTGCAGAGAAGATAGTGAAAGATGTGGCATTTTGCAAATTAAATATATTGTTCTTTATTGGATACAACTGCTTGTAACTGGAATGCTCCATAATTCCTAGAGAAAGAGTATGTTTTCATTTGCACAATATGTTAAGTAGGGAAAGAAAGAAATTCACATACATAAACTCAGAGATACTCTCTTTTTAAAATTGCTTTGTTGCATAAGCATTCTGGGTTGTGTATTCTTTAATCTTATTCTAATCACTGCCTTGCCTCAGTATTTCTCAGGAGCAAAATAGGGTCAGTGTCCTCTAAATTATAGTGCATATTAGTATCCTCTATAACGTTTAATTTGCTTTGTAGCTAAGAGTTACCTCACTGTGTTGGGCATTAGGATTTTGGAGCTAATATGCATGGTTGTTTTTGCTGTCTGCTTATGATGTGTTGAATCAAAATGGGTCCATGATCTACCAGACCTGGGTTAAACTGTTAAGCTCCATCATTGCCCAATTCCATGCCTGCCTAAGAACACCTCCCTTTTCATCTGAAGAGAATCTGGAAGGTAGGCTTACCGAGCAAACTCTATTCCAAAGGCTGTTCGGGTTTCAGTACCGCCTCTCTGCTCGATGTGTTTGGCAGCTTCTACCACATCCTTTACAGATCTATAATCATTCAGGTGAAATTCATGGACAGCATCCTCTCCATATTGGACAACTCCAACCTTGTGAAAACATTATAAAGTACTGGGGTGAAAATCTTCTTTCACGAATGAGCCTATAGACTATATTACAAGCATATCCTAATTATGAACACCTTTCTTGTCTGTTTTGTCTGTCTTGTATTACTTTAAATCAAGACATTGCAACTCCATTCAGGCCAAGTGTCCTTTGAGTGATATGCTTAGAGGTATGTACTCTGAAAGAGAAAGAGCCAGAATAGAGGATAGAGAACTTCATTGGAATTAAAAGTACTTAAAAGACCTTCATTTAATTTAAAAGTAATGTAGTTTAAATACTATGGTCACATGTCATATTTTAATAATGTCCCTTTTTGTCATATTAACATTATAATTGGATGGCAATTTTTGAACAGTTCTTTTGCAGGTCATACTCAGCCTGGGATCTCAGTTGTACCATCCAGCCTAAAGGATAGCTCTCAGTTTACTATAAGGTCGTATATTTGTCTACTCAGAAAGTAGTCCCATTAAGTTCAGTGAGATGTCTTTCCATGCAAATGTGTGGATTCAGCAGCATTCAAAGATTGTGTGTGTATATGTGTGTTGTATCCCAGTCAATCTAACAAAGCAGCATTGGATCAAATTAAGTTCCATTCCCTTTGAACATTCACAAACATCTGACAAAGTTGGATATTGTGGTGGGAAGGCATAATGCTGCTATTGTCATTTTGATGTCAGCCATCATTGCTGTGGATGCCTGTGTGTAGATTACAACTTAAATGTTGCAACAATGTCCTAAATGCGCCACTAATTTGTTACAAATTACAAACCCATTTTTCTAGCTTCCCCCCCCCCCCAGCAATCATCAGATGTTTTCTGACGAGAAAACATTATTTTCATTTTGTAGTCGTGCTTTGGAGTCAATGTCCAAAATATCGTTTGGAATGCGCAACGTTCTTAAATCAGCTGTGCTTATTCCTGGGTTCATATGGCAGCCCTCTGCAAGTGCTGTGTAATGCTAGGAAAAGAGATGGCTATTTTGTTTTGTTTGTTTGTTTGTTTGTTTTGCAAACAACTCAAGGTGGCAAACGTACCCAACTCACTTTCTTCCTCCTATTTTCCCCACAAATGGGATGAGTTGGGCTGAAAGAGAATGACTAGCCCAAAGTCAACAGCTGGCTTTCACGGTAAGAACTCTCAATCTCCCACTTTCTAGCCTGGTGTCTTAACCACTAGATCAGAGTATCAAACTGCCGGCCTGTAGGCCGGATGCATCATGCGGAAGCCGCGCCCAGCCCATTGCCAGCAATGGAAAAAAAGTTCACCTCACGTGTTGACACCCCTGCACTAGATCAACTTTAAGTAGTTGCAGATAGGTGCTAATGACTGTGTGCTTCAAAGCACCTTTTGCCTTCAAATCCAAACACAGCCCAGTCTGCTATTTATGACTTAGCATTCCAGCAAAGTGAATCAAGCTTATAATGTCCAGCCAACACTGGCAATCTCTGCTCCAAAATATGACCACAAGTCAAAACCCCAGTCCTCAGTGAGCCTGCGAGTTCCGAGAGACGGCTAATTATGCTTTTAAAAATAAATAGTGCAGATTTATTCTTGAAGCAAAGGGACAAGGGAGACATACATCAGCCAAAAAAAAGCTATGTCATGAAGGGCAGGATGCGCTGATAAGAGCAAAGTCACCCACACATGTTTTGTCACCTGTATTTGTCCCGGTCCAATGTAAAATTTCTTCAAGATTCTTATCAGGAAATTTTGAACTTCTGCCCAGGGGTAGATGCTGTTAGATCCATCCAGGACTATAATTATATCCATGTATGTCTGGCATCCTGCAACCAGATGGACAAAGATCATTAAGGGATCTTGGCTACCAAAAAAGAAGTGGAATAGGCTGCCAATTCCTTTCCCCTTGGCACACAACAATAGTGCTTCTTTCCAGGTAAGTGTGTCCAACAGAGTTGAGCACCTTTTCCAGATCCAAGGGCCACACTATGATAATCTTTTGGTGCTGTGATGCAATGCTGCATTCTAACCACTGCACCACCAGGGCTTTAGTATTGAAAAGTAAAGCCAAACATAGCAATGAATGAAGTGCATAATAGCTAGGGGAAAAAATCTGTAGCATCCCACTTCCCTCTGTGTCCTGAGCATCTGATTATTTTGCTTAATGATTAATCCAGGCTGCCCCAAACAGTGAAAGAGAGACAGAAAACGAGCTGTTTGAGGGCACTGCTAATTTTGATCAAAAATTAACCCTTTGAAATTTTCCAACAAATGTGTGGGCCTAGAAATAAATAGGTGGAACATTTCTCTGAATTTTTCCAGGGACAGGAGAAATTCTGCAACTGTTTTCTGAGAATTCTCACTTAGAGATTAGTATAAAACTTTGACAAAAAACAGCCCCTTGAGGAACTTCTCTCCAATGCTTTTTCCTCTGATTGAGTGGAAGAGTGTGGAGCCAGGGAGCCTGCAGAGAAGATGTGGCACAAAAGGCAAGATGTTCCCATAAATCACATCACGACAGTGATTAAGTGTAAGGACATCACACATATTTTTCTCTCCTTGGATTGAGTGAGGATTTGTAAGAGAATTCTCTGCAGACATTGCCAAGCACAGTCTCTTGATCATTTGTTTTCTTCATTTTGCTTCTTCACAGGAAAGCACCGATCAAAAACATGCCTCCTTGCTGTCTGGGAGGAGGGTGTTTTTTTCTCCCCTCACTGCTGCCCAGCAGGAAGCATTTTACCTACCATCAGCACAAAATTCCCACTGGGCAGGCTTCTTTTCAAGAACAGACTTGTTTGTTTCCCCTAAGATGGTGATTCTAAACCCCCAAGCGGAGAGGAAGAGAGGGAAGGAGGAAGCGGGGGGGGGGGGAGGAGGAAAACGTAATAGGCTGGTCCTCCTACTCTGGAGAGCTGGAGCCACTGACTTGGAGTATCTGAAGTTGGAGTTCACTCTGGAGCACATGCCTGTGGTGTAATAGGAACTTCCGCACTCATGAGACCACAGAGGGCTGCAAGCCTGTGTCAGAAAGGGAGAAAACAATGACATATTAGGAGAGGTTTTCAGAGGCCATTGTTTTAGTTGCCTGGATAATTTCTGTGGAGGTTGGGGCATTTCTCCATGAGCAGATTGCTGCTTGATGTTTGTCGAGGTGAAAGGAAATCAAAGCCAGCGATATGAAACAGCGTCTCTGCCTAGGAAGGTAGTTCTGCAGGACATGGCAACTTCTAAGCATGGTGGCAGACCAAATGAGAGACGAATGAAAGTGTAGCAACCACTACAGGCACCAAACATTTATTTGGTATCCTCCTAGCTCCCCATCTGTTTGGCTGAAATTTTAAAATATTATTTTTATGTAATAACACAATGAAAGGGGAAGGTGGACACTGCCAAGTAAAGCATCAGCCTCCAGCATAACTTATTTCTGAGGATATCTTTGGCCTCCCACAGGTCCCAGGGCATTTTCATAAAATTGGGAGGGACCGCGTTCCAGGCCTTTGGAGAGGTAGGGAGCATCTGGGACAGTTGGGGACGTGATGCGATGCTACCAGAGCCCTTTGCCTTCTGGAAGTGACAGCTAATGTGAATAGACATGTCTCCAACCCCAGGTATGAGGGCTTCCATAATACGTTCTCAGTTTCTCTATTTTCTCCCCTATTCAGAATTTTACCATCCGGTGTCTTGAACATCCATATCTTTTTATACCTGAGGAGAATTACAAATAAGCCTGATCTTCCTGTCAAGGGGATAGTATAAATATCAAGGGAAATCATTTGAAGCAGAAAGTTTTAGCAATCTGTTTTTTAATCTTGAACAATCATACAGAATAATAATTTAAATCACAAGAATTAGGTATGGCTAGTCTAGTGTAAAGAAGGACTAGGAGTGACATGATAGCAGTGTTCCAGTATTTGAGGGGCTGCCACAAAGAAGAGGGGGTCAATCTATTTTCCAAAGCACCAGGAGGCAGGACAAGAAACAATGGATGGGAACTACTCAAGGAGATAACCAATCTGGAACTAAGGAGACATTTCCTAACAGTGAGAACAATTAACCAGTGGAACAGCTTGCCTCCAGAAATTGTGATGCTCCACTTGTCTGAAATGATATAGAGTCTTCTGCTTGAGCAAGGGATTGGACTAGATTAAATCTCCAAGGTCCCTTCCAAATCTTTTATTCTCTTAATTTTTGGATTTGTATGAAACCCAGAAACTGCAGTCTGAGGCAACTATCTTATTCTGCCTAATAGGAGACTGAAAAGTGGGCTCCAGGTCGGAAACCACAGAAGATAATCCAAGTAAAAAGAGCATGTGTAATTATTCACAAACAATTTCTTACCAAAAAGCTGTTGTCTTTGGGGTTGGTAGTTAGGCTGAGACCCAGGCGCATGTTATCCTTTCGTTCCGACACATTGGAAAGAGTTACTCTTCCTTGGGAAAAAAGTGTCAGAGTCAAGACAGGCTGTGGGGAACCGTCACAGCCCTTGAAGACAGAGCATGGTGTGTCCTCATCACCACTACCATCATTTTCTTTTCTCCTTGACAACTGTAACACTTTCTCCCCATTGTCCCTACATCTGGTTGACTAGGCACCGTCTGTTCCAAAAACTCTTGGGCCTACAGATTCAGTCTCAGCTAAAACACTGGGAATAGCATTTCAGAAATATGTGGTTAAACCCAGGCTCTTCAGATTGATATTTTTTTCCTTCTGGCTTACAAATTCTGCTCTTCTGTTTTTTAAAAAAGTTGGTGAGGTGAACATACTTCATTATGTTCACCTCACCAACTTTTAATCATAGATAATAGACAACATCTACCTTGAGGCGACTTCAGTTTTGCATGTAAACATAAACCTTTTAATACTTTCAGAGCAATACGCAGAGACAATAAACTCAGCCCTTCCACTCCATAGTTTTACCTAGATTGAGCTTGGAACATGTGCTGTTGGCCTTGCCGTTCACTGAACACTTGTAGACATCTCCTGTTTTCTGGGGCCCATTGATCTCATATGGAGCTCCTACCACTAGCCTGGAAAAGGAAACAAAATCTGTAAATGTCTGGCCTTTAGGGAACATTATTCAGGATAACAACTGAGAAATTCTGTCTCCACTAAAAGCTTAGAAATAGTTTGTTCTGTCCATGCAAGGAGGCTGTCCTTTGCTTCAGCGAGGTGTTTCTTGATGCAAGGTCATTATTTGTCTCCTTGGGGCACCCAAGAGCCCCCTGCAAAGTCAGAAGTATAGAAAAGTGGTGGGCTATTTCTTACCATTTGGGGGTAAGAAGCATAAAAAAGTGTTGTTTGAGCCTGAATAGTTTAAAAAGAAAAGGAAAAACATCCCTATCCCTTCCCAGAGAACTAGGGAAAGAAAACTCTCAGCTGTACCTACATGACCCTGACTTTTTTGCTTCCTTGCGCCCCCACTGTGGCCTAGGCTCCAAGGAAAACGTTACCCTCTGCGTCCAGCTACCCAAAGATTGCCCGTTCCTGTGCTAGAACAAAATAGAAAAAGCCGCAACGTGAGAACAGGCTACTACATCTTGTCCCCTTCTTGACCTGGCATCTGGACGCTGATACAGACCCTTATGTGCTGGCCAGGATCTTCTTGGCTGATTGAGGCTGCTGGTTGGGAAATATTTGCCAGCAGAGATGCAGAGGAGATGGCTTCTGGGCACTCAAGCATGTTCAATGAACAAGCCGCTCTGACTTTAGCAGCTCCCCAAAGCAGTCGGGAACCAGAAAGAAATCTAAACAAAGACTCATTCCTTTTGGAGCAAAAATATTTTTCAAATCATCCGAATCAAATGCTGGCAGGAATCAAAATTCTGATTTCATGCTGGCTGATTTTAACGGAAGAAGAATGGCAGTAGAAAGTAAACGATAACACTTGGTGCTATTTTTGAAAGTTAAATTTATTCTCTTTCCACATGACCACTAGTTTTGTCCTACCTCCCAAGCCCTCAGGAGCTGCCAGCAGTAATACCAAGAGCCCAGAAGCAGAACATGAAGGTTTGTGAATATGTGAAACCACCTACCCGGAAGGACTGCAGCTAATTCCTCTGGAGCAGCAGCTGAGCTGCTTAATTTCTGAAGTTAATTGGCTGCTTGGGTCCACATCTAAAGGCTGTCAGAAGGCCCTCACCCTGGACGAATGGCACGTGGAAGGCCCTGAAGCAATATACTGTGTAGCCTTTTAGATTAGGTCTTCTTGAGCTTCAGTGGGACTTTCTCTTTCTAATTCAGAAGGTAGCAGTGTCCGGGAAACATGTAGAGGAGGTCATCTCACTTTGGAAATGAATCTATTTCCCAGTCTGGCAAAGTCACTTCGATTCACAAACAGGGACCTTGGAGGTGGAAATACTGATTGTCTGGAAGAGCCCCATAAATGCATATATAAAGATTCCTGATACTATTCTCTGCATTTAATCAAATACTGTCGGTTTATCCGAGCTTGGGCATTTAGGAAAGAAAGATCCTTGACTCCATTTGTAGCGACAGGTATACTTTTACTCAGGGCTTTTTTTGTCATAGAACGCCCAGAACGGAGTTCCGGCACCTTTTTTGGATGGAACCTTCTAGGATAGGCAAGGCGGGTTGTATGACACGTGTGAGTTCCGGCACCTTTTTTTTTTTTTTAACAAAAAAAGCACTGCTTTTACTAAAGCCAAGTGGTTACAGCATAAGCAAAGCCAGATCTGAATATTCCCGTGATTTCCCCTTCTCCCATGCCCTCCCTCTTGGTCATTTCATTAATGTCCAATAGTATTCAAAGTAGGTGTTTTGGTACAGTCCTAAAGTTTGGCGCCTCTTTGGTGGGCATTTGCATTCCATTCTCATGCCCGTGTCCTTGGATCTTTCAACCGTTGGTTCTTCTCTCGGGATGGCACTTCTGGTTCCGGTCACCCCCCCTCCCTATCTTCCCCTGCTTCCTCCTCTCCTCCCCCCCCCCTTTTTATGGCAGGATGCCATTAAAGTGAAACTTTATATTTCACAAAACTTTATGCCCTATAAGTTTGTTAGTATTTAAAATGCCACAAGACTTTTTAAAAAAAATTAACATGGTCCCTTTTCTAGAAAATTTTTAAATATATATATATATATATACATACAACATTATTGGTTTGGTTTTGCAAAGAGTGAATCCAAATGTTTTAATAGGTCAGCTGCCATGCCTCCTAAAATGTCTTGGAACAGTAAATACCATTGAGACATCTGAAGCAAGTCATTTCAGTATTTACCATTAAAATATTTGGGAAAATATTTCTGCAGCTGCCAGGTTTCCATGCAACTCAGTGGCCACAGATCATTAACAATTTAAAATTCAACCTACCAGGGAAAAAAGAATCCCCACTCCTCCCTAAGGGGGGGAAAAAGATACTTCAGAATTTTACCACATTTGTTATCTTCACTGATATGACTTTTTGTTTCCTCTACATCTTTGAGCCTTTTCATAAATGACTCATAGATGAGGGGATGAGATCATCAGCTTTGTGGATGATACCAAACTGAGGAGAATTACGAACACTTTGGAAGACAGACTCAAGAAGGAACTTGACAGACTTGAGCATTGGGTCCTATCCAACAAGATGCAGTTCAGTGATGAGAAAAGTGAGACCCTTCACACAGGCAGGAAAAATCAAGTGGGCAGGTACAGAAGAAGCAGTACCTGGCTCAACATTAGTGCCTGTGAGGGGGATATGGGTGTCATGATGGGTCACTGCTTAAGTAAGAGGCAGTTAAGGAAAAGAAGACTCAGGGAACACACGATAGCAGTCACAGTGTTTGAGGGGCAGTCACAGAAAGAGAGGCACCAAAGAGAGGCACCAAAGAAGCAATGGGACTTGCAGCCCTATGATTATTTGACCCTGTAAGGAAGGAGCAGAAGACCCAGGGTGACTTTCAGTTGCCACTAACGGAAGAGATGTATTTGATCTCAGTTTACTAGCATCAATACTGCATTTTCTAAAAATTAGTACCGTATTTTTCCGTGTATAAGATGCTATTTTTTCCTGCAAACACCCTGTTTGTTGCTTTACCTAGGAAGGAATATGACTAGGGTGTCAGCTTCAAAAGAGGAAATTAAACCAACAGAAATAAAAGCATGCCTACATTCCATCAGCATGTGTTTTACTCTACTTTATTTGCTGGCTATTCTACACTGAATCAGCTCCCCACTGATAAAAAAAAATTAGTTGTGAAGCAGCTATAATTATTTTTTAATTGCATTTCCAAAAAAATGATTCATGTGTTTTATTATTTGGGGAAAAAGTAGCAATATCTTTGGAATGAAGGCAAGGCAGGAAAAGTAACAAAGGATCAGGCCTTTTCAATCAATGGTACACTTAATCTCCAACTGAGACTCAGCACTGCTAATAGATTCAAGATGAGTCTGGAGTAAAAGCCCAGTATTTGGAATGTGAATTATGAGTAGATCAAGAGGAACATTTAAATAGTTGGGAAAAAAGAGAAGTGTAACTCACAGCTTAAATGGATAATGATTTGATAATGACAGACATCTCCAAAGTCCATAGATGATTCAACTGAAGAGATGAATACTCTGGGTGTCTATGATTTGATAACTCTTATATTTTTCAATAGATCAGAATTAGAGGAATATCTATACCCCAATAATAGGTATCAATGTTCAGTTTTCCTCCCCCACCATACGGTAACGATTATGCATTGGCTGCTGTACTTTACTGTTTGCAATTTTGCTCCACATCCATTTCATTTGTGCAACTTAGAGCTACTAGAGCAGGGATGTCAAACTTGCAATGTCACATGACTGTCACGACGTATCGCAACTTTTTTCCCATTGCCGACAATGTGGTGGGCGTGGTTTTGGCATGACGCATCCGGCCTGTGGGCCAGCAGTTTGACACCCCTGTACTAGAGAAAAGGGGGAATACAAAAGTAATACAATATAAAAACAGTTAGAGATATGAAACAATGCAGCAAAATTTTAAAGAGATAAAAAATGTTAATTCTTTATCTAGAGGAATAGATAAAGGACTATCTAGAGGAATAGTTCTTCATGTTGAAAGGTGTTATTGATGCCATACAAATACATGTACACACACACACAAATACTAATAAAATACATAAACTGGGACAAAAAATTGACATTCTTTAGAGGGGTGTTTTAAAGAGAAAGCCAGAGTAGAGTATTATGTTTTGCTGTATTTGCAGGAAGTACATTAGGGATAGATCATCTTCATTTCATTCTCTTAAAGTTCTAAGCTTCAAAAATACAAGGAAAGTGCAGAAAATTTTAACTCTTTAGTTCCATCTTGTGTGTCATTAGGATTTTTGTCAGATCTACCTTAACTAGACATATATTAATTAGTAGTTTACTTATTTCATTCCAAATAGCCATGCACATAGTATCTAAAAACCTGTAGAAAACACTGTAAGTACAATATTACTGGCAGCCAATTCACACTCTAACTATAACCCCAACCCTATTGCCCATCTCAAGGGGTCTACAACTGGGGTCCCCATCCCCAGGGCTTCTGTATATTCCTGTTGAGTACCATCTGATTCAGTTTTATGAGCATTGCTTAGAAAGGAAGAAAGGGCACTGAACATGCAAGAGTGAAGGAACAATGGTTTGAACCAATGCATAATGACAGAGAGAAAACTGGATTTTTAAGAAGATGGTTGTATATATTACCGTAGTTAAGTGCAACTTTGTAGTATGAAAACCATGGCTTATCTATTCCATATCTATAATGCCTTGTGTTCTTCTTATAAACAGAACAAATCGGGTCCTATACTGTTGTATGTAATACTTTCTCCACTATTTCTCATACACGGAAGAATGTAAAAAAGACAGCAATTCTTCACAAAAAGCATAATTAGCTTGTGAAACTCATTGCTACATTTTATGAGGACTATTGTATTACAGTACAGTTTAAGTTTAAAAATGAGTTTTAAATTGTTTTAAATTTTACAAGTGGACGTTCTGTGCTGGCTTCTCAGTTGGCAAGGGAGTTTTCTACTGACAGAATTAAGTCTGGAAATATGTTTATTTTTTCATATGGAAATGCTTTAGGATGACTAGACCTGCCTACCCCCATCACAGTAGCTTTGTTCCAAAAAGAGTAAACTGTATGATGGTGTTAAATGCATAACTGCTTCAAGCTTCCTTGTATTTGTGCTCGGAATGTCTAGCAAAAATTGGTATTAAGCCAGCCATATTTCCCACCCCCACTAGTACATTCAATATCCAGCCAGCCAAGATAGATGGGGGTAAATGACTAACTACTTTTACAGATCAGCACTGCGCAATTATTGCTGTAAATCTTCAAAGCAGATTTGATGATGCCTCCCTTGAGGCTATTTCATCCTTTCTTTCATATTATTGTACAGTAGGACTGAGAACGTCATGTCTGCTCCTAGACGTGTTATTACCTCAAGGACATGAAGGTCGCCTGCCAACTTCTCTGGTTCACACGCTCACTGACAGTGGCAGGCATGGGGGCATGAGGCTTCTGGCTTCTGGCTGGGTCAGGCCATCCTCAGATTTCTGCTCTTCCACAAATTCAGATTGTGTTATGAATAAAGGAAACAAATGAATATGTAGAAACACTTGGCAAAAAGAGTCTTAAAAGTAATCCTTGCCAGTTTAACCTTGCATCTTCCTATGAGTTCCATCCAAAGGAGCAGCAGGATCACAAATGTCCACCATCTAACACAATAGTAAAAACCAACCATTTGGAGAGGAAGTGAGGCCAGGCAAACTGGTTCAGAACAGCCTGTTTTTTTTTGCTATGGCACCAAGATCCGTGAATGCAGTGTTCTGGCCAGAACTGGAGAATTTACAATTACAAAGTTAGATGAACAGATTATTATTATTATGGTTCATTGCAGTCAGCCAGATATTCAGACTGGATTTGGCATTTTTATTCATCTATCAAGTCTTTCCCAAGGACCTGGGATAGGCAGATGCTGATGTTTTATGGTGTTAAAAGTATCATCACAGGATGTAAGCTGTTCTAAGTAAAACTGCCTTTTGCAATTAACTGATAGTGGTTTTGTCAATGCCAGTGATGCTCAACTGAATGCACCTAAGATGCCTACTGTTTTTTTTTAATGTACTGGCCATTTTGCCTTGCCATTCTTCTTTTTGTTCTTCATTTGGTCTTTCTTCTAGTTTGGTCTTGATATTGAATTCCTGACTTTCCTCCTGCTCAATCCTCTGGACTGACTCCATCATTCAATGAGGTGAATCAGCTTCTTTGTTGGCAGACTAGAACGAGTGTCTCCTATCCAGGAGCTGAATGGAACAGCTGCCAGATGTGCTTAGGGGTGCAGCTTGAGAGATGCCCAAGCTGGCTTGGTGGTCTCTTTGCTGGATTCTAGGGGAGCACTTTAGATGAAAGATGTGCCACCCTTCACCTACAAGTATCATAACTGTCTTACAATGCAGTGCTGTGGGACCCTGCTTGGACTGATCACCAGGTGACTGGAGATGGAGTAGCAGTGAGCTGTCACTGGGAAAGGGGCAGATCTGCTTCATTCCTATGTTTTTGTGTCTTGCTCTTATTTTTGTAGGTGGATCTTCTTGAGCCATTTTGGGGAGAAAACTTAGAAAAGGACTCCAGAATGGTTTTCTTTAAATAATAGGAGACTCTAGAACCCCTCACCCAGATGCATAATGTGACAGAAGGAGAACATTATTAAATAATTGAATCTAGTGGTTTTTATCTATATTCCTCAGGAATCAGAGGCCCGTTTGTGCTATTTAACTATCCAGTGAACCCCTTCTCTGTGGGAGCACCCACCCTCTGGAACGAACTGCCCCCAGAGATCAGGGTGATCCCTGATCTCCCTTCCTTCCGCCGCGCCCTCAAGACGTGGTTGTTCCAGCTCGCGGGACTGGCCTAAGGGATTTTAAAGGGGTTTTAATTACTTTTAAATTTGACGTATTTAAATATTTCTTTTTAACCAATTTTTAATTA